CGACGCGGTTGTGTGCGTGCGCGCGCGCGCGCGCGCGCGCGCGTGTGTGTGTGTGTGTGTGTTTTGTGATTGAGAGAGAGAGAGAGAGAGAGAGAGAGAGAGAGAGAGAGAGAGAGCCGAGTAATGAAACTGAATCATAGTACTTGTACATTAGCCAATTCATGTGGGGGGAGAGAGAGAAATACAAATATGCTTCGCTACAAAGGGATATTCATTTCGTGGCGTCTCCTTTACAGCCACCTAATCGCGAAAAGGCCGTAATTGTATTATAAGCGACTCTTGGTTTTGTCGAATAAATTATATTGAATCAATTATATACGAAAAGACTATAAACGCGATGTGAATTAATACGGATTAATGCCCGTTCCCACCAATGTAGATTAACTTTAATTTCCATTGGATTTAACATTCTCTTTATCTTTTTTTAATTTTTATGCTCATTTCCACCAATTTTAAAAAAGAATGAAATTAGTTTACATTTCATTCTTTCCCAAAGTCTTATAAGAATTAGAAAAAGATAAAGAATAAATTAAACTACAATTGAAGTTAATCCACATTGATAGAAATAAGCATATAACTCATCTCTTTCTAAAATTTTAAGATTAATTAGAAAAAAATAAAGAATAAATTGAATCGAAATTAAACTACATTGGTAGAAACAAACATGAAAGAAAAAGAAGAATGAGTTAAACTGAGATTAAAGCTGATCTGCTTGGAACTTGTAGAATCAGACAGATCGAGTTTGTTGCAAAGATATTTTATTGATTATACACTTCTTAGATAGACACGCTTCTTACACATATTTAGATTTATTGATTATGTTTCGTTCTTTTTTGGATTCAGGAATTTTTTTGCGATACCATGCAGATCGGTAAAAAAAAATGTTTTCCGACAGAAATTTTTTAATAAGTTGTAAAATTGATTTTTAATATTTGTTCTGTATGTATATAAACGTATATGACGACATAGGACATGGGAAAGAAATTAATTTTTCGCTCGTTTGAGAATTTTTTAGAAATTTTGAAAATGTCCGATCAGTTTAATAGCACAGGGAGAGGAGCAACTCGATAAGATATATTGCAAATCGTGGCGTGACTGTCGAATTTTCGTCATCCGGTCCGGCTGGTGCGGCGGTTTCCCGGTTCGCGTTTCGATCTGATTCCGTGCGTTCCTCATTTCCGCGGCATTTTGAGGAAGCAGTGTCGTTAGACGGGTTTCAGACGCATGCGCGTCCAATGTAGCTTCAGTAACGTACCATCACTAGTAAATAGAAGATCATTAGTCGCTTATGTAAAATTTTTTGTTAAAAATATAAATTTAAATATAAATATATATAATATATTTCTGTATATGTATACGTATGTAAAATATGTAAAATATATTAAAATTTTCAACATTTTCAACCTTAAGCGACTTATATTTATTAATGACCGATATAATACTGAAGCTACATTGGACGCGCATGCGTCTGAAACCCGTCTAACAACACACATTGTAACGAAGAAAGCTTAGAACGAAGAAGCCGGAAAGCGGACTAGCAGAAGCGCGACAAGCGATGAGCGACGGATTAAAGGCGGGTATGACATATCTCGCGATTCACCTCGTATTCACCTTGTATGTACCATATATACATACGCGAGAATTTGCGATGAATCGATCGTTTTCATCAGGAGAAACAAAGAGAGAAATAGAGAGAATGTTTTTTTCATCCGCAGGGCGAATCGTACGTGTTGATACGTGCGTGCGTGCACGCTTGCGCACTCGGCGATCCATCCGTGATGGCGTGATCCGTCTCGAGATGGCGGCGGAGAGGCAATGACGTCACGGGCGTAGTAATACACGGCGCGAGCGCATGGCGAGCGGAGTCAATCCGCGGAGCTGCTGCGCGAGAGACTGGGAACTGCTTTCGATTGTTGGCGGGCGCCGCCATCTTGGTCAGTGAGCCTGCGAGTGGCCTGTACGTCTCCGTGGTGCGGAGTGGCTTCGTTGTGCGTATTTCAGGCGGTCGTTTGCCGAACGGCGTATTCCGTGCGCGCGTCTCTTCCCCGCGTGAACCTCTCGTTATTCATTTAACCAGTGAGATCCGTACGCATCCGAGATGTCGGAACGGGAGGACAACGTTTACAAGGCGAAACTGGCCGAGCAAGCGGAACGCTACGACGGTAAGTAGATATTTTCCCTTTTCGTTGGCGAGGGGGAGGGGGATGGACAGAGGGGACAATCTAGCCGGTTCGTCGACGCGAAACCGCGAAACCGATCTACATCCCGCGCGATCCATTCGCGTCTCGCGCGTCGCGTCAACGGGCTCTTCCCTCTTCTTCCCCCCCTTCCCCCTTCGCTCGCATCAACGGGATCCGGGTCGCCCATCGTCGCGGCTGTCTGGCGTCTCGACATTCTCGTGATAAGCCTGCGATCCACTAGAGAATTTCCTTTCTCAAATAACCTTTTCTATTCTTTATTGTACTCTGATGGTACATACTCCCGGGGCTATCGCTCTCTCGTTAAAGCGCGTTGTATCTGTCAAAATTGGCGGCGCGATCGTTACGATGTTATTCGTCATAGCCAGCGAGGTTCCTTTGTGGCGGCGCCGGACGCGATATCGACTCGTGTCATTCGCGACGGTCGATCCGGCGAGGCCCGCCCGTTCTCTACTTCGTTCGCCCATTCGTTTGTCCGTCCGTCCGTCCGTCAGTCGGTCGGTCCGTCCGTCCGTCCATTCGTTCAATCGCCAAAGCCCTGGGGGGCAGAGGAGGAGGGAGAAGGGAACTGCCGCGGAACGAGACGACGGATCTCGTGCGTTTTCTAGACCTGTGTTAAACCTGCTCTTTTTAGCTGAACTTTTCGCACAATTCAGCTCTTTTTTCTCTTCCTACGTGAAGAGAAAAGAAAGATCATGTAAAGAAGAGTTGATCTGTAATAAAGAACAGATCAGAGTTTTCTCGCGACCCGATTCCTTTGGATTCCATGCTTCAAAAGTGCCGATCGGGAAACGACGCTGGCCGCTGGCGGCGGCCACGCGTTGCTAGGCGTGCTCCCGGTTCTCCGCCTCGTCGCTCTTTTTTACCTCCTACCCGAGAGAGAGCTACATGTCTCTTCGGCAGATAAGCGAAGCGAGACAGGTTCGTTTCTCTCTCGATCACCAACGACGGACGGTCATGAGACTCGTGAATGTTGATGACGTATAGACACGTCGAGGCGCCTTGACTAATCGCCCCGTCGCCGCCGTCGCCACCGCCGTCGCCACCGCCGTCGCCGCCACCACCACCGTCGCCGCCGCCGGGTTATTATACCACGGATACACGCAGTAAGTCGCGTGTTTCGCTCGTGGCATCTGGCCTTGAACGCACGCGAAGAAATCACCGATTGGGGATTCGATCGACCAAGAAGAGTTACCGTTCAATATTATTTTATCCATGGTGGAATTAGACATGATTCCATCACACATTTTATCTTTGTTCAATATTCTGTGAAGAAAAAGAAAATAAAATAATATATACATGCACCCGGATAAATTTTCTAAACACAGTCAAAAGTCAAAAGTGAGAACAACCAATGTCGTTCTTTTTTTCTTCTTTTCCGACCTCGACAGAGAGGCGAGAACCTTCACCCACGTGGATTCCACAACAGCTGCACGGTCCGCTTTAGTTTTCTGCAACTTCGACTCCTTTTTCCGCACAAAAAGCGAGAAAAAAGTGAGACGAGTGGGGTCCGCTTTAAACAAAAATGAGACGAAGGCTCATCATCAGGTAAAATAGATCTGACGGATCGCGTACAAGCTTGACGCTGGTCGCTACGTCGCGCTGCGCCGAATCCAGCCGGATCAGCCGGATGTCGCTTTTACCGATACGTTTGATATTTTCGCACGTCTTCCTCTCCTCCATTCTCTCTCCCTTTCCATGTTGAGTTAAGGGTTCAGGTTAGGCGTAATAACGTGAAGCGTCCAGAGTGAGCGGTAGCTAGTTTGGCGGCTTTCGAAGCGCCTCGACGATGACGATTCCATCGATCTCCTTGCATTCTCGATATCGACGCGACCTCGCGGACTGCGATCGTGCGTGATTATCGAGCGTCGGCACACCGGCCGGCCGGCGCGACACAGCGATTTGGAGCGCTCGTATCGATCGCATTCATTCGATGCGCGCTTGACTTGTCATACCAATCGCTATCTTTCGGGAATAAAATATATAAGTACTCCCAATTTCATACGAATTTCCTCATCTCATTGCTCTCATTCCTACGTTCCGGGCGATGGCGCGATGGCCGGGACGAACTACGAAGAAGAATGTTGAGAGGGACGAGTGAGAGACTGTATCTTGAAACGGGAGGCCATGGAGCGGAGCGTTGCGGAGCGACAAGTATAGCGACGAGAGGCGTGGGAGGGAAGAGATGGTCAAATTTTTCCATCCCTGCTGATCCCTGCGCTATAGATACGTCTTGGTATGCGCTCGCTTCGTGTCTTTTAACGTCTTTGAAGATTCCTCAAGCTGGTTGTATATACATATGCTAAGAAAAATATATCTACCTATCTGGAGCAATGCTCATTTTGTATCTTGAAACAAAGTGAATGAATTATTTATCTACTAAAATATTTATAATAATTTCATTAATCGACACATTAAATTTTGTAATTATGTTATTAATTTGTTCGTGTTGCTTGTATTTTTTCCATCCACCACCTTCGCTGCTTTCTTTTCCTTTGATACCCGAATACATATATTTATCTCGTTTTAAGTATAAAAATTTTTTGGGATTTCAAGCAATGCGAACAGACTTATTGTTACTTGAAAATAAAGAATAGACATTCTGTTTCTATTGCTTGCACTTTTATACTTTTTATTTTCTCTCTATTCAACGCCGGAATATATAGATATATATCTTCTTTTAAGTGTAAAATTTTTTTGAGGGAATTCAAGCAATACGAACAGACTTAACTCTTCTAGGATTAATTGGAATTCTGCTTGAAAATGGACGAATCAAAATTTTTTAAAATTAAATCTACTGTAATTCTAATTGAAATAACCGAAATTTCGATTGATATTATACACGTCTGTTCACATTGCTTGAAATTCCTCAAAATTTTTGCACTTAAAATGAGATTATTCGAACGTTGAAGGGAGAGAAAGCGTAGATGCTGAGTGTAAAAAAGTGCAAGTAACGCGAACAGACTTACAATCTTTTCATCTATTTTCAGACACTTTTCTCAGTATACTTTTATCTGTGCTCTAGCAATTTCCCTCTCTTCTCTTTCTTTTCTTTTCCTTTCTTTGCGAAAGAAAGAAATGTGTTGGTTCCTTGATTTATGCGCCTCAGAAGAGAGAAAGATGCATTCATCGGAACGCACTGAGTAACATGTAAAATAGCTTGTCGTAATGATAATCTCATCAGTGATAAGAGGAAAACAGATACTGCTGTATGAATCTTCTTGTTCAATAGTAATAAAGAAAATGATGAAAGACAACAGTGAAAGACAAAAAGAAACGTGTAATGATGTGACAATGATGTGGTGCGACCTTATTCCTTTCCTCTTTTAAAATCTCATTTCTTTCAATTCTATGATTTAAGGCTAGATTATTTTTTTTTTACTCGATATAACGAGATTAAGAGATCTGACGAATTCTCGTGCTACTGATTAACGAATCTTTGTTTCTTTCGAAGTGCCGTTCTAATTGGCGAATCTTTTTTTTTCCTTTCAAAATTTCTCCAATTAGCAAATTCTATTTCCAGCACGAAACCACTTTTAATCGACCGAAAGTCAAGTCGGTTCAACACGGTTGTTATATTCTAGTTTCCGCCACTTTTAAAAGTCGTATCATTCTCTTAGAATCCTCTTTGAAGATGAAATATTGGAATTTCGATGCCAAGTGTAATTACTGAAAGTTCGATGAATGGAAATCGATTCACTCCTCCGGGAGAAATTCTCTCTTTAAATTGCGTATCTGATGCTTCCCAGTATTATTTCCTTTTCTTCTTGCATTATAGAAAAATTCTGTGAAAAATTATAATCAAACGTGCATGTTTTCATGTTTCTTAAGCTGTATCAGTTATCATGACGTGGATCTCTAATACTCTTTTCTATCAATGTAGATTAACTTTAATCTCAGTTCAACTTTCCATCTTTTTAGAATTGGAAAAGATGAAGATTTAATGAAAGAGATTAAAATTAATCTACATTGATATAATAAACGGGCATAAAATAAAATCAATTTTATTAGTCTATTCTGTTGATTGAAATTCCGAAAAATTTTTACACTTAAAATGAAATGAATGTATATTTGGATAGTAAAGAGAAAGAAAATCAAGATATTAGAAGATCTATGTTCTTTTTCCAGATTTCGACTTCTTACACGGTTTATCCTTTTTTCTTTTTCTCTTCACATTGGAGAGAAAAAGGCAAAATATAAACTGTGCAAGAAGTTTAGTCCTAAAGTGTGGTAAAAGGCCGATCTTACTGAGTGCAAAAAGTGCAAGCAACGTAGACAGATCTGAGGTCTGTTTTTTTTCCATATTCCAGGATTGAATTTTTTGTTCGGTTCATTTTTCTTCTTTTCCTTTTCACATTGGATAGAAGAGGATAAAGATGAATTTCAGCCCTGGAATATGGAAAAGGATTAGGCCTCTTATGTCACTCTAGGGAGTCACTTGAAAAGTGTTCATGAAAAAAGTCGAAACATATTAAGGATAATTAACATTCATCAACTAATGACTACAGATCGACTGTTCGTAATCTCTTTCTAGATTATCTTGATTATGCGTGATATACAGAATAATTCTGAAAATTCGGGCTTGACTTTAAATATATGACTTTAGAGGTACGACATTGGCATGATCGGTCCCTAAGGTAGAGCCTGAGTGGAAACGACATATATAACGCTATGATTTTCCTAGGACGTGTCGGAGGACGAGAAATGACGACTGGAATTTGAGGGTAGCTGAAGAAAGAAACAGGCAGAGAGAAGAGTAGATTAGGTGGGAAATGGGGAGGGTGAGCAAAGGGGGGGGAGAAGGTGGCAAGAAGAGCAGGAGGAGGAGGAGGAGGAAGAGGACAGAATGGGGGAAAGGGGTGGTTAGCAGAAGGAAAGTATTGATCTGGCTGCTATCCTACGTTGCACACTGGTATATGTACACCGTGTTCATTGTAACGCTTTACGTCACATTCACTCCCTGTAAACTTGATGGTACCACTTGATCAGTAACGTCGATGCGTGCAACGCAGAGTTGATCCATGCATCGATCTACGTCTTTTCCTTCTTTTCTTCCTTCCTTTGTCGTTATTATGCTGTTGTTATGGGTCTGTAAATTTCCGGAGTCCAGCCTCTTGCATCTCCCCTTCCTACCCTCCCCTCCCCCTCATTTGGATGAGTGGCGACGTGCCACTTGTGCCATTTTAAGCGCACAGCAGACAACTCGAGGACAGAAAGTTTCTTGAATTCAGGCTCGTATTTTGAATGGAGATATCAGCTTCAAGTTGAGGAGAAGTTTCCGACTTCTCTCTTCCGATTTCTCAAACTACGGAGAAGGCGAACGTTTAATCGCCGCAGTTGTGAGCGTTGCAGAGCGTCAACATTTGCATTTGTAATTTATCTCGGATGTTTATGAGATTAACTCAAATTCTAATGTCGCAAGAGATGTGTGGGATCAAGTACTGCTGCAAGAAATTTGCAGCTTCAAATCGAGTTACGAAGCTTATTTTTCATCTTATTTCGCTTTTAATGATTTTATATAATTTTGTTACACTTGACATTTTCTCGTATTCTTCGCTTTAATTCACTAATTAACTTCCTTCTTTTTTGCCACAATTTGTCGGTTTTGAGTTTTTAGATACTCATTTAACTGAAGCTTGAAAAATACATTAGTTAAACCAGGCAAGCAGGTAGGCCTTGCTAGCAAACACGAGAGAGTATTCCATAAAAACATCTGGAGGCCAAAAATGGCAGCGCTTCTCTGAGCGAATATCGCTCGAATATGTGCTGATATACGTATTATATGACTTCCGTGCAAAGTTCAAGGGGCAGCGGATTAATATATACCGACGCGTTCATCCCCTTTACTCCAAAGGCACTCCGCGCTATCGTTTCATCCGCGATAGGCACGTAACATTTTATAGGCCAAACGTCCATACGCCATTTAAGCGAACAAGTTCACGAGCGGCACGGAGTTCATTTCACAATGATTTATGAGGAATCCTTTGACAACCTGAACTTTGCAGGATAAACATAGAGAAACGCGGAAGACGTAGAATATAAAATAATTACGTAATTTTATATTTCGTCAGGTTTCATCGTCGATCAAATTGTTATGACAAAAATTTATTCAATATTATTAGGATATTTTTATGTTATATTTTCCTATAGGAACTTTGATTATCTAAGAATCTCTTCGGTAGTTTTGCTATTTAAGGATTATTATAAATGTCACGAGAGTAGATAAAAATGTTATATACCATCAATGTACAGAAAAATCAAGATGCTATATATAAAAATAGTATTTTTGCTCCTTAGAAAGTGACTTCCGTTACTCCAAAGATTGTTTTTATTATGTAGGTTTAATATTTGTTTGAAGAAATCTGAAATAATATTTATTTAACAGAAAAAGAAATTATTTTTTGTCATAGAGAATTATATTTTTCCATGAAATTTTTCTTACATATAGTTTACTTTTATGTTTATTCTAATTATAATTTTTCATTTAATGATTGAGTATCGTCAGATGTGTGTGTGTGTGTGTGTGTGTGTGTGTTTGTGTGTGTATCTTACATGACAAATCGATGAACTTTATCAACGATATTGGTTGCCGGTATTATTTGCAGAAATGGTTGAGGCGATGAAGAAAGTGGCTTCGCTGGACGTAGAACTTACCGTAGAAGAAAGGAATCTTCTTTCGGTAGCATACAAAAATGTGATCGGAGCAAGGAGAGCCTCCTGGAGAATAATCTCGAGCATTGAGCAAAAGGAGGAAAACAAGGGTGCCGAAGGGAAACTAGAGATGATTCGCCAATACCGATCTCAAGTGGAAAAGGAGCTCAGGGATATTTGCGCCGATATTCTCGGTGTCTTGGATAAGCACTTGATACCATGTGCTTCTACGGGAGAATCTAAAGTCTTCTATTATAAAATGTAAGAATCCATTTATATATTTTACGCAATTGTCCATAGGACAATATTAATCTATAGTTATTTTGTATTTTTGAAACAAAAATTTTAATTATTTTATTTATGAACACAATTTTATTATTAAATAATTTTCCATTTTTTTATATGTTATTTATAAAAATGATGCTGATAAATTATACTCAAAAATACAGTTGCGTCATAATTTTTTATATCATAATGATTCTTAATAAAAATATCTTGCTCGCAAAGACGATATACATTAGTTATTGACACTGACTTTATATTTTATGTTACTGTATTTTTACCTAATAAATATAAGACTTTTTGATTTTTTATTATTTCTTTTATTTATTTATTTTTAAGAAAGTTATACAGCAAAACTGTTAAATAACTGCACCATATTTCAGCGTATAATACAAATTGTTATTAATCCCAATTGATGTGTTTTCAGGAAAGGTGATTACCATCGTTATTTGGCAGAATTTGCCATCGGTAACGATAGAAAGGAAGCGGCGGAAAACTCCCTGGTGGCATACAAAGCAGCGAGCGATATCGCCATGACGGAACTACCGCCGACCCATCCCATTCGCTTGGGATTAGCGCTCAACTTCTCCGTGTTCTATTACGAGATCCTCAATAGCCCTGACAGAGCATGCCGCTTGGCGAAGGCAGCCTTCGACGATGCGATCGCCGAACTGGACACGTTGTCTGAGGAGAGCTACAAAGATTCTACCCTCATAATGCAACTCCTCAGGGACAACCTCACTCTATGGACGTCGGATATGCAGGGAGACGGTTAGTGTCCCATTTATTTACAGAGGCAAAACTGCCATAGGAATGTTTTGATTATGCTAGAATGCGTTGTGCGACGTATCCCGCCTATTCTCGATCGATCGACACGCAGACGAATACTATGCATTGTGATATAATGATTTTATCTCGTCTCACGTAATTTACCTAGAGTGTCTCAGAAGCTGCATGCTTCATCACAACTAGAAATATAAAAAAGATGAGAAACTTTTTTTTCAATGAACATATCTTTTATTAAATTCTAAAAACAAAAGGAACTTTTTTAGCTTTATAATTCCAATTATGGTCTTTTTTTACTTCTGAATTTACTGCTGGGATAAAGTAAATAAACATTTTTGAAAATTGCAAATGAATGATCTGAAATTGTCGAAAGATTAGAAAAACGTGTTTTATATTCAAATTCATTTCACTCCTAATAGAGTTTCAAAATTAGCGTTTTTTAATTTGATGTACGTACGGGGTGATTTATTAAACCAATGATACGCAACTTGCGGCTCACCTGTGAATTTTCTGCGACCTTACGGCTCATAATTGGAAATAAAATTAATAAAATTATATTTTTTATGCAAACGAAATGAACAGATCCGAAAAATTTCATCTATTTCTAAAAGTGACCTGAAAATGAAAAAAAGATTGCATATTATTGCATTGAATTATTCATTTTAAGTTCTACATACTTAGTTACTCAATAAATTGATTTAAAATTTTGTATAATTTTTAATATTATATAATATGAGAATTATGGATGATTTAATATTTTTCTGAAGAAATATTGAATATTGAAGTTATGAAAATTAGAGGATAAAATCAATAAAAACATTAAGATCATAAAATATTCTGAACTTTTCTCTCGCTCATATTTATATATATATTTCTGCTTATGAGCTTGTTTTTAATTTATTTTAACTTGTAAGAAAATTATGCGGTTTTCGAACGCGGAATTAATACTTTGTTAATTCAGAGTCCGAGTCTGATCAACAAGACGATATTGCTGTTGATACCCACGATGCCTGAACATAGATACCCTTTTCCTATCGTCCTCATCCTCCCAGCATATCTGCACTTGGTGAGCGACATAATTCTTATACAATTGTCATTATATTAAAAGAAATAAAAAAAATGAGAAAAATATTACAAATTGAATTTATTTAAAATTATCTCTTCAAATTGCTTTACTTATCAAACATAATTTATTTGACATGCATTGTTTAAGTGCGTTCAACTAGATTATTTACTGACATATTTCGTATGTTTGTTGCGCAGGTGAAGCTGAACAAAAGGAGCAGCTGCAGGATGTGGAAGACCAGGACGTATCGTAACTCTAGCTGTAGTGAGTGTTATCTTGCGCATATAAAACTGAGACACAAGAAAAAACTCTTAAATAACTCGTAAGCAAAAGAAAAAAAAACCAATTCAGCAGGTGGCAGTTCGGGGTGGGAAGGGGAGATCTTTAGAAATTTGCGTGACCCTTTAAAAAAAGCACGCACTGTATGGTTACTTCAAAACAAAGCAGCAGCAGCAGCAGCAGCAGCAACAGTGACAACAAAATACAACAACAGCAACATTAATAAATAAATCATTTAGTTCATCCGGCATTATATTACGTACACATACATACAATTGAGTTACAGAACATGCAAAAAGTAACGAGACAAAAGGGCACGCACTCTGCGGTAAATAGAGAGACTGCAAAGCATTTAGGAGAAAGGCACTTTTCTGTTGCCCCGTTTTTGCGTATCGAGAGAAAACGTCGTATTTGCACTTTGTATGCGTTCGATAAATGTGCAAACGACGTCGAGAACGTCGAGCCGATGTCGATGCCGGCGCCGGTCGATTTAATCTCGGCAATTCAGATTTTGATTTCCGTCACAGTGAGAACGAATTGTATCTCCTATGTTTTACAGTGAAAGAGGAACAAAAAGGATTGCCCGATGTCATATCAGAATATATTTACATGACTGTCTATTCTTATCTCCATCTGGAGTTCTCTTCCAATTTCCTCCTTTTCGTTCCTCGCTTTTTTTTTATTATGTGCACGATATTTTATTCCACGCGTCCTGTAATTATTACGTGTTTATTAGCGTTTAAATTGATTTATTTCGAAGACAATTTGCACCTCTCTCTCTCTCTCTCTCTCTCTACGGAAATAACGGCGGCGCCTTCATTGTCAGTTGTCAAGACGGATCTCGCTCTCGAGCTTGTATCCTATAAAAGATATGTACTTCCAACAAGATCCGATACAATTGTAATGTTATAGATAGCCGAAAAGAAAAATTTTTAAATGCATGGATTCTTGGCATAGCCGAGCTGAGGAGAAGAGAATGTGCTTACTTCGATTGCCCCCTTCTCCCCCTTTCCCACCCTCTGTACCTCGTCAAATGCAATAACGCCTGATTTTGTGAGCTTTCGAATGGAGACCGCGTCGCGAAGGAGCCCTGTAATATGAGCGAGAAGCGATAAAACGTATCATCGAAATTCTCTGACGGCGATCTCTCGATTTTCGGTTCTTTTACGCATCTCTTCCGAGGCGAATGCGTCCCATCGCGTCAGCTCGATGAGCAGCGTCGTGATAAAAAAAAAAGTGAAAAAAAGAAAACGAAAGAAGGGGAAAAATGAAAAAGATTACGTTATCGTAGGTGAGCCTTTTTAGCGCGTTACGTTACTCACAGCAAATAAAATAACTATCTAGCTAGTCTGTAATGTGGTTGTACGTTTTCATACGCCCGTTGTGTAAACTAAATATCGATTGCTGTGGTATAAGAACAGAATAAATGACTGTACCCCGACTTTTTCCACCCGCACATTTACACACGCAATTTACGCTCTATA